GGAGCAATCCATGCCTGGCCCCTCTTTGGGAGCAGGGAATCTGCAGCCTCCCCTGGGGAAAGGGCAGAGCTCTGTCCCCTTAACCCCGAGGAAAGGACAACACCCAGCCAAGGATGTGACCCCCAGGAAATGAGGATTGCAGCCCTGGTTTGGCAAAATTCCCACTCCTTCCCTCCAGCCTCATCTACCTCCAATGTTTTCTCAGCCCTGACTGATCTGAGCATCTTTATCTGGAGCAGGGATGAGATGGAGGTTGTGATGGAGCCTGACTGAAGCACCAAAAAATGTTCATTCAGTTATGCCTCTAACAAATGGATCCTTCTGAGCTGCTGAGTTTAATGTGCTTTTTTTTAATTATTTTTTTTCTCAGCCTCTTCCTGTTCTGGGCCAGCAAGAGAGCAAAAGGTGTCCAAGTGGAATATTTTTTGATCTGGTTCAAAACAAGGGCTTGTCAGCAGGGAAGTTTCGGGTCATTTGGGTTGAAACCAAGTATGCCAAAGTTTCCAAATTCAAAAAATAAAGCCCACCCTGCCTTGTACAAGTCCTGCAGAGCCCTGTGTAGAGCAGAAGTCTCCAAATCCAGCTGATCATGAGTTCATCTGCTGCTGGGCACGGCACTGGTATAAAATGGGATGCAAAGGAAATGTGACACAGTATTGCCTTCAAAGAAATTGGAAATTCAAAAAAGTTCTACTAAAAGCTCAACAGAAATGAAATATTTTTGATATCATGACTCTTTGAAATGTTTCCAATCTGTTTCAAGATAAATTCCAAAGGAGTGAAACGTGTTTTTCACAAAAGGAAAATATGACATTTGGTGAACATTTATTTCTTATTTATATTTATACTATTTATAGTTATATTCTTATTTTATTTCTTATATCCAGAACTAATCTATAACATATTCCCATGTCAGCATCAGAAATAAAATTGTAAATTTTACCCTATTTATTTTTTAGGGGAAACCATGTTTGTTAGTACAGCTGTCCATCCACTTGCTCTACCACACAATTATCTGTTCCCTCAAAGATTTTTTTGCAATGGTTTTGTAAATTGAGTAATAGCCCTGACTCCACAAATACATATCAATGCTTTTTAAATCCTTATATATTAAAACAACCCTTTTTTTCTGTGTTGGGTTTTAGACTGAGTTTTTTTTTTTCATGTGGGTGACAGTGGGTATTGGTCAACCACATGTCCATCTTCTCCATGATTTCCTGGGTGTTTAACTCACACCTCATATCCACTC